CTTCAAATATTCAATAAGCGTTTTGAGCAATGCTCACCGTGCCTGGTTCATTGCATATGCAATATATTTAATAACCCTAATTTTAATCCTAGTCGACACTGTTCCATAAAAAGTCATGGTAAAAATAACAATAAGCACCCTCTCTGCTGCAAGAATCCTATTGTAAATATGTTCATAGAAGTATAAAAATGTCACTGTTTGGAATAGAACAGAAGCAAACCAGGCAATTCCATATGTTTTGTGCTTGCCAATGTCATAGTAAAGAAAATATAATGGATATAAAAGTGGATATGCATTTAATGTAGCAATTCTATTATTTGTCCATTTTTATGCTGTCTCATTATATAAGCCAATGTGAGTTCACTAAACTATACTTTGCTGAGCAAATGAATTGTAACTACAATATTAATTTGCTGTGTGGGCAGGTAGTATTTTATTTTAACATTCATTAACAGTAACTTAAAATAAATATAAGCAGTCTTTCACACCATAGAGTAGCCGAAGAACTGACTTACAGTTTATAGGCCTGGGTGGGATTTCTTTAAGATATGGATTATAATGCAGATTAAATTAACATATTCCCCAAAGCATGTCTGCACACACAGCATGTGTGCTCCTATTGCTGTCACCTACGGCGATACACTCCCCTCCGTATGTATTTGGACAGTGAAGCTAACATTTAAAATTTGTCTCTATACTCCAGAATTTTGGATTTGAGATCAAATGTTTCATGTGAGGCAACAGAACAGAATGCCACCTTTTATTTAAGGGTATATTCATGCATATCTGTTTTACTGTTTAGAAATAAATGAAAGCATCTAGTCCCCGCATTTGACAAAGTCCTACGTATTTGGACAAAATTCACTTAGTGTTTTAAAGTAGTCTAAAGTTTAGTATTTGGTCCTATAATCCTAGCACACAATGACTACATCAAGTTTGTGATCCTACAAACTCGTATTTTGTGTGTGTTTTGGGTTGTTTTGAATGATGACTGGAGTAAATGTATTTCTAAAGTGAGTAGATAGAAGTGTTCAAAAACATCTCACTGTATCTCAATCCTGATAAAGCAATGATTAAGAAGAATCATGAATAATGACAAGTAAGATGCCATTCAGAGGCTACAACAAAACATGCACGGTCATCATTATTCAGGATTCATTCATGATTATCAGTATCATGGTAGCATCCACGTTAATGTAGAAGTGTTCAGAAACACCTATTCTTATTTACAATAAAAGGTGAATCCAAAATGAAAATACATTATTCACCATTCAGTTCCTATTGGGCAAAACATAAATCGAAAACACAACCAAAACAAACCGCAAATGCATCCAACAAGTTTGTAGTCTCACAAGCTTGATGTTATCATTGAGTGCTAGGATTATGGGACCAAATACTAAACAAATCCCCCCCCACAAATAAAAAGTTGCTTCACTTTCCAAATAGACTGAACAAAAATATAAAACGCAACATGTAAAGTGATGGTCCCATGTTTCATTAGCTCAGTCCTTCTCAAATAGTGGGGCGCGCCCCCCTGGGGGGGCTCGGAGCGATGCCGGGGGGGCGCGTGTGACCCTGGGGAACATGCTTTTTTTTGCCGCAGGGAGTAGTTTTTTTTTGCACCGAACAAAAGCACAGAGTAGGAGATATGAAGTGCAGATAACAAACCCTTAAGAGACGCCATGGAAACATATCTAACAGGGATGAAAAGAAAGGCGGAGAGAGACGGAGATAATGAGACAAACGTAAGTCTCCCGAAAGCTAAGACGAGGAAATATGACGAAGCGTATGTAGCGCTTGGCTTCACTGTGACTACGGTGGGAGAAGAGGAAAGACCGGTATGTTTACTGTGTCTAAAAATGTTGGCAGCGGACAGCATGAAGGCAAATAAATTAAGGCGTCACTTAAATACATTACACCCCAATCACGCTGATAAGCCGCTTGAGTTTTTTCAGCGAAAACATGCCGAATATTGCCAACAATCGTCCCGCTTTGTGAATGCTACTTCAGGAAACCAGCGAGCACTGTTAGCATCATATAAGGTGGCGTAACAAATTGCTCAGTGCAAAAAAAAAACACTCCAAAGCAGAGGAGCTGATACTGCCTGCAGCATTAGACATGGTTTCTGTCATGCTGGATGACGCAAGTGCTGCAAAAATAAAAACTATCCCTCTGTCCAATGACACTGTCGCCAGACGTATAAATGACATTGCTAACGATCTTAAAGAACAGCTGGTAGATAAACTCAAAGACAAACGTGCCTTTTGCCATTAATCCTGACTTCCTCATTTTGCTAAAAAAAAAATCAGCACAAATGGTTTTATTCATTTTTGTTTTATAGGTCAGTGTTTCATATATTGGGCTCCTGAGTTCATGTTGCTGATCAATTTGAATTTATTATTATTTATTGATTATATTTTATTTTTCAGTATCAAATGGTCAAAAAAAAATTACAGTTTAAATAAGGCAAATTTCAGGCAAATTGATGCACTTTAAGTCTTTTCTGTTACAGACTAAAAAACAATGTTAATAAAGTTATTCTTTGTTGTAAGTTGATCTATATTTCTTTATTTTATTTTTATTTTCTTTAATGTTAATAAGGATACAATGTTATGCAGAGGTGTACTTAGAACAATTTCATAGACAAATGATACTATTTCCAGTTGCGGCGGAGAGTTGGGGGTGCGAAATGTTTACTTATTCCTAGGGGGGGCGCAACAGAAAATAATTGAGAAGCACTGCATTAGCTAAAATAAGAGATCCCAGAAATGTTCTATATGCACAAAAAGCATATTTCTCTCACAAATGTGTTTACATCCCTGTTAGTGAGCATTTATCTTTTGCCAAGTTAATCCATCCACCTGACAGGTGTGGCATATGAATAAGCTTATTAAACAGCATGGTCATTACACAGGTGCACATTGTGCTGGGGACAATAAAAGGCCACTAAAATGTGCAGTTTTGTCACACAATGCCACAGATGTTTCAAGTTTTGAGGGAGCGTGCAATTGGCATGATGACTGCAGGAATATCCACCAGAGCTGTTGCCAGAGAATGTAATGTTAATTTCCCTACCATAAGCCGCCCTCCAACGTCGTTTTAGAGAATTTGGCATTACGTTCAACCAGCCTCACAACCGCAGACCACGTGTCACCACGCCAGCCTAGGACCTCCACATCCGGCTTCTTCACCTGCGAGATTGTCTGAGACCAGCCATCCGGACAGCTGCACAACCAAAGAATTTCTGCACAAACTGTCAGAAACCGGCTCAGGGAAGCTCAACTGCGTGCTCGTCGTCCTCACCAGGGTCTTGACCTGACTGCAGTTCTGCGTCGTAACCGACTTCAGTGAGCAAATGCTCACCTTCGATTGCCACTGGCACGCTGGAGAAGTGTGCTCGTCACAGATGAATCCTGGTTTCAACTGTACCGGGCAGATGGCAGACCGCGTGTATGGCTTTGTGTGGCTGAGCGGTTTGCTGATGTCAACATTGTGAACAGAGTGCCCCATGGTGGCAGTGGGGTTATGGTATGGGCAGGCATAAGCTATGGACAACGAACACAATTGCATTTTAGCGATGTCAATTTGAATGCACAGAGATACCGTGACGAGATCCTGAGGCCCATTGTCGTCCAATTCATTCGCCGCCATCACCTCATGTTTTAGCATGATAATGCATGGCCCCACGTCACAAGGACCTGTGCACAATTCCTGGAAGCTGAAAATGTCCCAGTTCTTCCATGGCCTGCATACTCACCAGACATGTCACCCATTGAGCATGTTCGGGATACTCTGGATTGACGTATAAGACAGCGTGTTCCAGTTCCCGCCAATATCTAGCAACTTCACAGAGCCATTGAAGAGGAGTGGGACAACATTACGGGCTCCTGAGTGGCGCAGCGGTCTAAGGCACTACATCTCAGTGCTTGAGGCGTCACTACAGACCCCCTGGTTCAATTCCAGGCTGTATCACAACCTGCCGTGATTGGGAGTCCCATAGGGCGGCGCACAATTGGCCCAGCGTCGTCCGGGTTTGGCCGGTGTAGGCCGTCATTGTAAATAAGAATTTGTTCTTAACTGACTTGCCTAGTTAAATAAAGGTAAAAAAAAATATATATATATTTATTTATTTTTTATTACACAATCAACAGCCTGATCAACTATGCGAAGGAGATGTCGTGCTGCATGAGGCAAACGGTGGTCACACCAGATACTGACTGGTTTTCTGATCCACGCCCCTACTTTCTTTTAAAAGGTATCTGTGACCAACAGATGCATCTCCGTATTCCCAGTCATATGAAATCCATAGATTAGGGCCTAATGAATTTATTTCAATTGACTGATTTCCTTATAATTGTAACTCAGTAAAATCTTTGAAATTGTTGCATGTTGTGTTTATATTTCTGTTCAGTTATTTTTGTTCAGTGTACATACGGAGGGGAGTGTACATTACACACTGTTTGGTGCAGCATGAACAACTTCAAAAGTAAATGGACTTCTGTTTCCACCAGCTTCTGCATCTACTTACAACTCCGGTCTCAGTGTTGATTATAGCCTAGCATGACCACAATAACAGCCTTGTGAGAACAAGTTAAGCACATGAGGGGAGGGTTGACACCACTTCCTTTATGAAATGTGGAGAGATGGCACAAATGAACAACTAACAAAATAGCACTTAAGATATTCTCTCACAGAGACAAGATATTCTTTTCCAAATCAAACAAACATACTATAAACTTTGACCTCCATAATTTAGTAGTGTTGAGAATTCCTTAAACTTCCCACACATTAAGTGGAGTTTTGGGGCTCTTTGCCAAAAAGTTTAAGGAAGGCACTAACAATGAACAGGCTAGAGGCTGAATAGGGACGGGTGCTTGATAAATAAGGGATAAGGAAATCCTTAATCCTCCCACTTATTCAGTGGAATTTTGGTGCTTCTCAACAATGTGAGAAGGCATTGAGAGTGGACAGGAAGAGCACAGAGAGAAAAGCTTAAGAGATCACACTGCCTGTAGGCCTCTCTCGCACCCGTCCAGCTGCACCTTAATATTGTGCAGTTCCTCGATCTCCTTGTGGTGGCGCTCTGTCTTGTGGCTCACCAGCGAGCGGTAGAAGTGGATGGTGAATACCACAAAGATCACCCCCACCGGCACCATGATGATGGTGGAGGCCAGGGCTGCCTGCCAGCCACTATGCCCATGGAGAGGGGTGGGCTTGGGCGGCACGGCGGGGCCGCTACAGTTCAGCTTGGATAGTGCCAGCTCGGCGGCAGCCACCGCCACCTGGTTGGCGGAACTAGAGTCCACAGGCAGGAACTTGATCCAGCAGAGCAGCACCACCTCGGCCAGGAAAAGCAGGATGCCCAGGGCAGTGGAGAAGCCCCAGGCCAGCTCGATGTAGTGGTGCATGCGCTCGTGGGGTGACTCGCTGACTGAGTTGAGGTTGTGGATATTGCTGACTGCCTCCACGTTGGGTAGGATGCATGTGCTGATGAGCAGGGCGAACAGGTGCACAGCCACCAGCACCGTAGTGCACACGCTAAAGGCCATAAGGAGCATGCGCGGGTAGTTGTACTGCATCTCCAGCTGGACCTCCACCATGGCCACCTAGCACGACACATAACACCATCACTATCACAGTCCACCACCACAGTCCACAGTGAGAGGGCTTGCTACCTGCTTTTCAGACTGGTTAACATGCTATTAATAGCAGCCTGGGAGTGAGTGAGGTTTTTCCTCAAGAGGTTTATCAGAGAAATGTTTGTCTCCAGTGATACGGGATACAGCGTACAGACTGCCAGGGAAATTGAGCTTAAAAACAACTTTGAAGGGATTAGCCCTGCTATTATCCCTGAAAAACTGTTGGGTGACTCACCATAGCGAAGCCAGAGAGCAGGGCAGAAGTGCGGCTGGAGGCTTTCAGTTTGGCCCGGCTCAAGTAGAGCTTCCTCCAAGACAGGGCCTGCACAGAGTGGTGGTTGGAGGTGACCAGCTCCAGGTAGCTGCGGCGCACCCAGTCCCTGTAGTCCATCCCTCCACCCTCCGTCATCTGCTCAGAGCCCCCTGGGGCTGGGGAGCCCATGGGCACGTTCAGCTCACTGCTCATGGCAACTAGCGTACAAGAACGGATTAAAATGTTAATAAAGGAAATAAAACAAAAAGAGAATGATTTTAGATTTTTCCCAGATTTCATGTTTATCATCAGTGGGCCAATTTGACAGTGTGGTCCAACATGAGACACTACAGCTGAATTCTGGAGATATATCTGAACCTAGGCTACTCACTTGGCTGGGCTTTGCTTGTTTTATGAGTGGCTTTCATCACCTATCTACAGTTGAGAGCAAAAAAATAGAAATAAAACATTGGCTTCACAAAATATTTAGCAGTGAGTGCTTGAAAATATTGGTTGTGCCATAATACCTGCTGCAGCAAAAAGTGCCAGGGTTACATCCTTGTTAGCTAAGAGTTTAATGCCAGTGTTAGACATACATACTAGAATAGTGGTTCCCAACCAGGGGTACTAGGACCCCTGGGGGTACTTGGCCTATCCACAAGGGGGTACTTAAGAAGACCCATGAGACCATAGGGTTACTGGTAAAATGCACAGGCAGTACTCCGGGAAGAGCAAAATTCAGTAGATCAAATCAAATTTGATTTGTCACATGCGCCGAATACAACAGGTGTAGACCTTACAGTGAAATGCTTACTTACAAGCCCTTAACCAACAATGCAGTTTTAAGAAACAACACACAAAAAAATAAAATAGAATATAAAATAAAATAATACGAAATAAAATTAACAAATAATTAAAGAGCAGCAGTAAAATAACAATAGCGAGGCTATATACAGGGGGTCCTGGTACCGAGTCAATGTGCGGGGGCACCGGTTAGTCGAGGTAATATGTACATGTAGGTAGAGTTATTAAAGTGACTATGCATAGATAATAAAGAGAGTAGCAGCAGCGTAAAAGAGAGGGGGGGGGAGGCAATGCAAATAGTCTGGGTAGCTATTAGATGAGATGTTCAGGAGTCTTATGGCTTGGGGGTATAAGCTGTTTAGAAGCCTCTTGGACCTAGACTTGGCGCTCCGGTACCGCTTGCCGTGCGGTAGCAGAGAGAACAGTCTATGACTAGGGTGGCTGGAGTCTTTGACCATTTTTAGGGCCTTCCTCTGACACCGCCTGGTATAGAGGTCCTGGATGGCAGGAAGCTTGGCCCCAGTGATGTACGCACTACCCTCTGTAGTGCCTTGTGGTCAGAGGCCGAGCAGTTGCTATACCAGGCAGTGATGCAACCAGTCAGGATGCTCTCGATGGTGCAGCTATAGAACCTTTTGAGGATCTGAGGTCCCATGCCAAATCTTTTCAGTCTCGTTAGGGGGAATAGGTTTTGTCGTGCCCTCTTCACGACTGTCTTGGTGTGCTTGGACCATGTTAGTTTGTTGGTGATGTGGACACCAAGGAACTTGAAGTTCTCAACCTGCAGTCAGGTCAAGACCGTGGTGAGGATGACGAGCACGCAGATGAGCTTCCCTGAAACCGTTTCTGACAGTTTGTGCTGAAATTCTTTGGTTGTGCAAACCCACTGTTTCATCAGCTGTCTAGGTGGCTGGTCTCAGACGATCCAGCAGGTGAAGCAGCCCGATTTATGGAGATCCTGGGCTGGCGTGGTTACACGTGGTTGTGAGGCCGGTTGGACGTATTACCAAATTCTCTCAAACGTGGCAGTTTATGGAAGAAAAATTAACATTTAATTCTCTAGTAGACATTCCTGCAGTCAGCATGCCAATTGCACACTAACTCAAAACTTCAGACATGTGGCATTGTTTTACATGTTGCGTTTACATTTGAGTGTAGATATTGCTACATCCTTGTCAGGAAAGTTCAACCTGATACGACCTTGATGCCTACGTAGGTAAATTATTTACAACTTGGTCAAATTATGAATAGCTAATTAATTTTGTGCATGATACTCAAGGAGTCTGCATTATGATCTTGCCAAATTGACGTCACGGGCTAGCGTTCTGCTCAAGTTACAATGTAACTGAGAATAGTATGTGCGATAATTACAGTTGTTCGTTACCGTTCCACAGTCAAGCAAGTATATTTGCAAACCTAAAAAGAAAAAACGTATGAATGTATCGCAATCGACAGCGTTTTGTGCAACGTAGGAGCTACATTTTTAAAAATCCAGCCGGTTTGGTAAATATCTAGCGTAAACGTTAGTTAACTAGTCGAGATAGCTACCTGGTTAGTTAACAAGTATCAACCAAGCGTGGAACGTCAACTAGCTAGCAAACAAGCCACCTGAAAAAGAAAACAAGTGCAACCTAGTGTCATCATAAAATGTTTATTTCCTTGGTCATTCAATCGTCCAGCAATCCGGTGTCGCTACCGCTACTCACAAAATAAAGACGATGCGACTTCCGGGCCACTCTGGCTAGCATCGCGTTGGCTAAATTATGGACAATCTCAGTAGACAGCTACACGATTGACATATTTACCTTTTTGCCAAGACGTCCTTTGACCTATTAATGCATCCACAAACCTTGACGAACTTCGGTGAATATTAAAGGGTGATGAAAACCCTTGCAGTGCGGTAACTTGCTTAGACAGACTTCACCGCTATCGTTCCCTCACCGCCCGGAGCCTTCTGGTCACGTGACATCTGCATCCCAAGAGGAGAACATGGCTACAATTAACAAAGTGGAGCCATATAAACAATTTACAGAAGGCGTTAGGAATTAACTAGATCACCTCAATAACCCAAAATGTGATCCTCACATACAATGAATGAGACTACAGGATACATGTATGAATTACAATAATTGTAAATTGCCCTGGATTAAAGTTTGATAAATGAGGTGGTCTTCGTTATGTGGACTGGCGCTGGTTCTCTAGTATTGCTCACCTCATTCAGTTTGGACGCAGTCACAAATTTGATTGAATTCAAAATGGTTCTCTCAAAAGGAGGCGGCGGCTGGCTATGCAGGTGCACCTGTCAGTCACTCTTTCAATCCAGTCATATCGTTCTCTCTCTCTCTCTCTCTCTCACACACACACAGACACAAACAAACGTCCAATTCCACCCATGAAGAGATTTTAATAATGCCCAAGAAAACTATTAACAATGACAATGTTCAAATATACAGACATAAAAAAATCAGACAAAGTAATCTATACCTGTGCATACTGCTAGTAACCCCACTCCATAATTTGGCCAAGTATTAAAGAAGGAAATTAAACATTAATATGGTGTGGAAGCCTTCATTTCATGACCATAAAACAGTGTTGATCAAAATAAAATTACCACAAAACCTGTATGACAAGTATGTTTCAAGAAAAGTCCCCCCCCAAAAAAAATTTTAAAATAAAGATGACAGTTCACTTCAGTAAGTCATACTTCCAAAAATAAAGTCATGTAAAATGAGCATTAAATTATACATAACTTTTTACTGCTAATACAAGTCATAACTCAATCTATTATGCTGATTTTTATTTGTCAGGCTTCATCTCTTTGCAAGCAGGGGGCAGATTTGGACAGGGCACATCATTCATGAGGTGACTGAAGTCTAGCCAATAGGAATTCTCATGTTAGAAAGAGCCTAATATTCTCTACCCAGTCCCATCCCAAAACGTATAAATCACAGGGAACGTCTGTTAATCACCAGAGGTATATTTAGCGAGGTGAAACGTTGCGAATGTTCCTCACTGATGTGTATACTTTTAAGGATTTAAATGCCAATTCCCAGCATTCTTATGCCAGCAGGTGAAGTTATATATCTGGATAATTCATGCACATTAAATGTCCACCATACTCAAAGTAAGGTATCAAAAGTTTGATAAAACATATTGACCCTTCTGGGAATGTGTTCAGTAACAAATGCCTTCAAAAGAAAATTAGCAACTTCTGAAATATTGACTTATTTAACACTTTCTCTGCAGATAAATAAGCAAAACATGAATATAAACATTACTTCTTCCAGTGTATTGAAAGCAAAAAAAAAAAAAAAAAAAAAAAAAAAACTTTAGTACAGGTATTTTATGACACAGCAAGTGATGAGCGACCCCCCCCCCCCCCCCCAAAAAAAAGTATTTATAATCATTCTATATTAGATTGACTAACGTGATACGAGTGTGAAATTGCATTGCAGATAAAGATCATATTGAACAGTGTTAATGGTTAAGTTAACACGTCGTCGTAGGGACCAGCATCACACCCCCCAAAAAAGTATTTATAATCATTCTATATTAGATTGACTAACGTGATACGAGTGTGAAATTGCATTGCAGATAAAGATCATATTGAACAGTGTTAATGGTTAAGTTAACACGTCGTCGTAGGGACCAGCATCACACACACAGTAAGGCAACTGAACATCTACTCGTGACCTTGCCTGAGCGCTTGACAAAATGGCGCTGAACCAAGAGTTTACTGAACAGTTCTTTCTGCTTTTTTTCTTCAAATCAATTCACAAGTGTTGTTCGACTGGTGTTTTGGCAGTTTCCTCCATGGTGTCCTCCACAAGCGATTCAAGAGAAGGTCTTTGAGGGCAGCTTCATCCAAACTCCGATAGTAGCCACTGGAGTGTGTAAATAGAGACCTCTCTTCCCTGCTTCTTTAGTCTCTTTAGATTTGCAGAGGCTATATGCAACACCAGTAACTTACAGGCAGATCAAATTAACTTCTTTAAGGCTGAAGTTTTTTTCCATTTCCTTTCTACCACAGTAACATCAACATTAACCACCATGCATGCTCTGTTTATGACTTGTATGCTCAAGAGTTTTAAAAAACTCACAATGCTGAAAAGATGGGCGACACAGGGAAATGCAAAACAAAAAAAGGTGAGAGCGCCAAGCCGCCAACTCGGCCACCATCTTAGCCCATTTAATGTCTTGAGGCGAAAAAAGGAAACTTGTAGAGGTGAGTTGTGAGGAGCCAACTGGCAACTTATATCACTGTAGACTAGTCCAGGCTAATGTTGAAATGGCTGAGGCCCTCTGTACTCACTGTATCGCCACCCCCTCCCCATGGTCTCCAGGGCTAAGCAGCAAGTGATCTTAGACGCGGAAGCTCTCTCCCTTGCCGTCTATGTGGCGCAGGCGCAGGTAGACATCGGTGCCGATGCCCTGCATGGACTGGATGGATAGGGAGCCACCCAGGTACTCGGCGTACGCCCGGGAGGTGGGCAGCCCGAAGCCAAACCTGACGGGTACACAGATTTTCTTATACGTTAATATTCTGGAGTTTTGTAAACTGGCGCCATTAACATGAATTGCAACATGCAAGGACCTCCTTCTAGAGAAAGCAAAAGGTGTATAA